TAAAACATATCTTCTAAAATTTTGCTCAATGTGTTAAGAGAACTGAACTGACAAAAAAAATGTTGATAATATAATTCTAATAATGAATACATATTTTTTAAATTAGAGACATTCATTGTAAATAAAATCTATGATAAAAGACACAGAATGATATTTCTATTTTCTATTTAAAATCAGCATAAAACATCTTGTAAAGAAGCTATTTTTCTTCTTAAGTATTTGTTTGCATTGAGTAAATTTTATTCCATACCTAATCAGAAGAAAAGAATATTCTACATGTTTATGTTAATTTAATTATTTTTGTTGGTGTGTATGAACAACCTGATCTATGAACAAGACATTTTCATCATCTCACTACTGATCAAATCAATTCTGTGTATATTTGTCATTTATGTAGTTATTATAAAAAAAACTGATCTGTATTTCTCTGATAGATAGTCATTAAATATAATAGGTAAAAAAACAATCGTAATTGAAGATCATCCCAGTCGATTCTTCCTGGCAAACTTTTTCGCCAAATCACAATAGGAATTCTCTATAGATTCGTGAGTTACAGTTACATTCTTATACATCAGAATATATTTAGTACTAAAAAAAAGTTTCATCAAACTGAATTCATGTCGAAACCATGATTGAAGGTTAAGAACGATCAGACAGAAATCAAGATGATCGTTATCATTTACAAAAGAAAATAAACTTAGAAAAGGATATCTCTAATAAATTCTCTAATGATTCACTAAGGATCTAAAAAATTTTGAGAGACCGATCAGAAATTCAACAAAAAAGTATACACTAGGAAATTCTCTAAATATACGATAGATATCTAATTAATCTTCTAACATAATTCTTTTAGTATATTTCCTTTTGAATGCACTGCTTTTTATGTTTTCTTTCCACTATCTCATGCAAGAACTGGTTGTTTTCGTTTCTAGAACATGAAAAAAGAGCTTCTGTATAATATGCTTTATATAGCTCTCATTTATCAGTTTGGCTAGTATAAGGAAAATTTACATTAATATTCATTCAGTTACAATCATTACTATCATATAATTATCATTCGAAAACAAACAAACAGTTAGATTTTAAATCTATTACCTATGATTGAAAAAAAAAACAAAATGAGCTATGAGATGCTTTCAGAAGCTACTCTTCATTGATTCATTTCTCAATTTTCTTTGAAAATAAAATTGTCGATGAAAATCTACAAGGTCTTTTTTGGCAGGTCTCATCAAATCTAAACAATATTTTATTTAAAAAATTTACCCCTGTAGTAGATGTTGCCTGGAAATGTTTTTATTATAAAGATGCCTTTTGCAACAGTTTGTATAGCACGAAAAGATTTTTGTATTTGTAATCAAGGACGTTTGCGTATGGTGAAAGAAGGCATGAATCAGAATATTTTTTTCTTCTACCTTGCCTTTCAATATCTGTTTACTTTTTATAGTGCATGCTGAATAGTAAATCATAGAAGTTTTGTTCTATTATTCTATATACCCACATCGAAACGAATGAAAAAAAATGATTGATGGAATGTAAACAATCTATTTTCATATTTTTATATTTTCAATTTGACTGAAGAGACCACTCATAAAAAAAAGCCACGCAAAAAGAAACTATTCATTGAAATAATACTCTCGATTTGCAAAGTAGCATCGTTTTTGGGATGGATGTGAGTGCGGATCGTCTCTTCACACCCTTGAAGTACGGTGAAATACGAAAATTTTACTTTTTTCTTCTTGAAGGGCACACATTTAAGCAAAGACCCTCACACAAGCATTTCGATCCAGCATCATCAGTTTGTTTGGATTCAGATAAATCTCATTATTTTGCGTAAAAAAAAATCTATTTTTTTTTAGCGCGAGTCACTTAAAGTTTCAGCCCAAAGTTAGCAAGGTTCAGCCAGAGATCCCTATGGGTAATCGTATTAAGCTCGCTGTGTTTGCAGCCAATACAATTCTATTCATTGTAAATATCACAATCGTGGTCAGCATACTCGAGTTGATACACCTAGATATGTTGCGATCGAAATGCAGAAAAAAGTTTTTATCGAATCTCTGAGAGATATCTTATGTTCTGAAAACAGTGATGTTAGCTATTGCAGTTTTAATCTGTAGGATATGATCAAAGACCATGCTTGATTTAATTCCAATAGAAAAATCTAATATCCATATGTAGCTGGAAAACGGTCTTATCCGTCCTCATCCTTTATAGTATTCAATAGATTTTGACTTAGTTTCAATTCAGTTTCATTGAATTTTTTATCTTCAATTTGTTTTGACTCTGTATCACTAAGAAAAACAGATTGTAAATGTTAAGAAAATGTACTTACAGTTGATGTAGTCTCATCTCAAACGCAAGGTACTATCTAGAGTGGCTTCCTCGTTAGTTCACATTGTAAGACCTCTAGCAATGCTTAACAGTTTCTAACAACGAGAGAGTAAATTAAATCAATTATGCTTATATATAATCGTATCTATGTAAATTGTTGTTTTAAAATACAAAACGGACAAATACATTTTAAATTGCTCTTACCAATCATCGATATAACGAAAACTTCGAAAGATGGCAACAACATTCGATCTAATCACTTTTGCTGCTGATACTCTTTTTCATTATCTCAAAAAGAAAACCAGAGTTCTCATTTCAAAAACTGTTATTTTGTACAACATATTGAGAAGAAAAGCGGAACTTTGTAAGAATGTTAGTAAAAAAAAATCGAGAACGAAAAATATACAGTACTTCGCACCGTGATTAAGAAAAACAGAATACGAAAATGAGAATAAAAAAAGCTTGTTAGTACAGCTTCTATGGAGCTGAAATGTGAAACTTACATGTCTTGTTTAGCTTCATTATACTAATACAAAATACACAAAGTGTGAAATCTCTATAAAACGATAGTTCTTTGTGAATGATAATTCATTGTCAACAAACGCTGTGTTTTTTTAATTTCTACATATCGAATAGAAATTTTGTTTTCTTTTTTTTGACTAATGCATTTTTTTTTATTTCATTTTCATAATTTATTATTATTAATCTAACCATTGATTTAATAAAAAAAAAAAGCCTGTCGTACACATTTGTTATATCTACGGCAGATCATAACGATATATTATGCATCTTGATGAACTCAGAAATGATAATATTGATGGTTCCCGATAGTTAGGACCTAAATAGTTCATGATTTTGTGTTGGTCATATGACAGTTGTAAGAAATCAAAACATAATCCTTGATATCTATCATATAATCTTTTATCTGCAAAAAAAAATTAGAGACTAGGAAGATGTTGCAATGCTCTAGAAGCTTACAAGTCTTGTTATTAATGTTGTTCAGCGTCTTTAATCTCAACTGCTAAGATTTTTAATTGAGAGAGAGAGAGTGGAGGCCGCAAAACTTTTGCGTAAAACTTGTATTCACTATTTTCTTCGGAAATATACGTGGGTTCCATAATAGAAAAAATTTCTGGTCGAAACATAGAATTTTATTTATTTAGTCGACGACTAGCGCTTTTTTTTTGGATCATCTATCTTGAATTATGTTCTCATTGATGATTTATAAGATAATTCAATTGAAACAATAGTGTATTTAATAATAATATTTAGTTCAGATTCGAACAAATTTTTTCTCATAGTTTCAACGATGTTTATTTAAGCGGACTTTACTATATTTTATTATGATTTATATCACATTCTTATCAGAAGTTTTGATATCTGACATTTTGTTACTGAGAAATTGTCAAAAATAGAAAAATATTGACTACTTAAAATTCCACACATTTAATATACTTGAAATTTGATTTCAAAATTATTTTTCATTTTTGGATCATCTTTTTTTTTTCTCTATCATGTTTTATTTAATGAATAATTGTTTTTGTGTTCGCTTGATTTTAATCATGAAAAAAGAAAAATATCGAATTATTTGCGTTTCTCTCTATTATACGAATAAAAAGAACGAAGAACAAAACATACAAGACATACATGAAATAAAGTCAAAAGAAAAAAAAAAAGCGCAAATAATTTGTATCAGCGTTACAATTCTAGATGACTGTAATATGTTTTTGTTTTTTTCTTATACTATTAAAACGATAAATGATTATATTCTACCTTAATTCAGTAAGGAATTTGCTTTCTGTAATCACATACACACAAGCTACAGACATACGAAAGAGAGAACAAAAAACATATATTTTTGCAAGTAACTGTTCGAATATATACATACAACCCGACTAATGCTAAATCAAGAACGCAACATGAATAGGTACATGCGGAAATCACTATAGGAAGAGTAAGTTTATTGGAAAGCAAATGTTTTATTTTTGAATATTTATGCATTAACTGCACGCTTTTTATTATCATTTTCTGACGTATTTGTTGTTGTCCGTACAAGTCTAAAGAATAAAAGAAACATTTAGTTTATATGAATAAAATCTAAACATACGGATCATTTGCTTGATCTTGTTCATCATCATCTGTTGAAGTTTTCTTATTCGATTTTTGACGTTTTTCAAAGATTAAGATAACAATTACAAGAACAAGAACAACACTCACAATACCAATAAATGGCCAAAGTGCTGCTAATCGATCTAATAAAAACAAAATCAAAATTTTTTTTCGATCTTTGATATAACTTTGAATTATTCTCTATCAAATACCATATAAATGAGAGCTCTTCGTTGTTAGTTAGTACTTTTATTTAGCTCAACTCTCGCATTGCGATTATTCTTTTGTATACAAATATCTCCAAATGATAATTTCTGAAGGTATTAAAGAAATAGGTCATAGACCTCTAATACCATCATTTTTTCAATCAGTTTAGTTCGAGAAAAAAAGTTCTGATACATACAGGAAAGTTTGTTTTGCGGTTTTTTCAAAATCGATTTTTTTAACAACTAAAAAAAAACCGAGCGTTTCTTTCAGATGGTATGTCCGATCGAGTCGACGGTATTTCTAGTATTTTGCTTCTTCTGAGCTCTAGAAACGATAGCTTAGAAAGAAAGGAAAAATTCCCACTCGAAGAAATGAAGTATAGAGTTGTGCATTTTTCGAGAGGCAGTCGGACGTGTGACTCGGTTGCTCGAATATGATGCAGAAATACAATTCTCAAGAGAACAATTTTTTCGATGAAAATTGTTTTGTGTTATATATCATTCTACATAGTTTAATGCGATGATTTCAAATATACTATTTTTGTCGATTAAATATTTTCTCAGAGCCGGAAAAAAAACCTAGGTTTTATGAGAATCTCCTGTACAGTCTAAGACAAAATTCAGAGGTTGATTATGGGTGGATTGCTCATTGCATAAGACTAGCCGTTCGAACGATACTATAGAATAAATTATTTTTACCATTGTATAGAGCTCAGCATGGAGATTCAGAAAATGTACTTGATTAAATTTTGTTAGATGTTAATTTTCTTGGAAAACTGGTTTTTCAATTTCTTTGAGGATTGTTACAAAGTTATTCATATCATTAGATAGATATTATATTTCGAAGTATGTTTCTCTATATTTAAATATTTTGAAAAGGTGCGATTTTCATTTTTAGCTAGATGTTCGTCTAGATGCACACTGTGAAGTGACTTCTGGCTTGTGCGATCCACGTATCTCACTGAAGGAAGTATCTGAGAATTTTGAGTCTACAACAATTTGTGCTCTACTTATCGAGATCTATCAGCTTTTGTCGAGCCATTTGCGACAAAATCCCGAAAAGGATGAGAGTCCGATTAAATAAACAAACCTTTAACACGTAATAAAACTGTAAATGGAACACCATTGAGTAAACAACGATAATAACCATTATGAATTTTTTTAACTTGTTCAATAACTAATCGATTAGCTTCTTTATTAATTCCTGGAGGTAAATCAGAAAATGTTTCACCATCTTTACTATATTCCCACTCAATATTAATCTCATTTTGATTATCTTGTTTAGGTTCAATAATACATGTTAAATGAACTAATTTATCTTCACTACGTCGTATTGATCCATGAGCAGAATCGATTTTTTCATTAGGTCGATTTGTTTCTATACCTTGTGGTGATGGTTTAACTAATTAAAAAAATAAAAGACATATTAAAACTATATTATTATTATTATGAATAAATTTTGTTTTACGTGCTATTTGACCAAATCGACATTGACTTGGTGCTTCATTACCGTTTTTCTTTGTTTTAACTTGCCAAACTTTAACATCTGCATCGAATTTTACTTCAAAAAATGAAAATTTTTTTATTTTTTTTTTGAAAAAATTCATTTCTTTACCAAAAATTTTTATTATCAGAATTGATTCCGTTTCATTCTGTTGAACAATATAATGACCGGGTTTTTCAGTACTTACAGCTATATCATCTTTATACCATTCGACAAACTCACCATCACCATCATTACCTGTATATTCACATTTTAATTGAAATGATTGTTTTAATATAGCTTTATTATCAGCTGTTATTTGTGGTTTACCAACATATTCCGCATTTAGATTAAATATTATATTTGATACTAGACAAGGAAAAAAAAGGATTAAGATAGATTAGAATCTATATCAAGATCTTGAACGAGTATTTCTACAGATCACTAACGTCAATAATCTTATGTGTCCCTCTTTTAATTATTTTTTCTATAATGTTAAATACCTAGCTCACATCCATTCTTTACCAAGAGTTCATAGATGAACTGTGATGGTAAGATTTTTTAAAAACTGGACAAGCTACTTTTCAACAATGCCTTTTTTGAGGAAAACAAAATTAGGGGTCACTACATTTTCTACGATCTTCTCTTAAAAATTTAAAAGTATCATAAAAACCGGAAAAAAGGTACTTTTTTGATAAATTTTGGCTTTTTGTGATACTTTTAAGATTTTAAGGAGAGTTCGAAGAAAATCCAGGAACCCCGCATTTTGTACTCTTTACAACGGTATTGTTAAAAAATAGCTTGTCTAGTTTTTTAAAAACCTTGCCATCATAGTTCATCTAGTATAGAATACTCCATTGACTATTAAAATCACTATTCCGATTTGAGCTACAGTCAACTTTAAAAGTTTTCCATTGCTTTTTATTTTTAAGTGATCTATTAAAACTATACAGGATTAATTTAGTATGATTACGTGTGTGTATAGCAGAGGTTAAGCACTATATAAATACATACTTGTGTTAATACGCAAAATGCTTAAATATAACATACAATGAATAAATAGAAACTTCGATAGTAACAAAAAAGAACATAAAAAAAAGACAACATGATACTGTCATTATAAGTTTATATGGAATAATGATGATTTTATGGAAATGAACAATCTTTACACACATCACACCCATGTGTTATACGAAAATGATTATAATAGTGTTCAATGCTTTGTTCTTTTGTATTACACTACTCATTTTTCATCGTCATGATTAAAACTTTTTCAGTGAGTAATGAATGCTATATTCTAGAATATTCTATTCATGAAATAATGGATTGTAATATTTTACTGCTTGATTAGACATAACAATTATCTCTATTAATCCCAAATGTCTATAATTTTATAAATTATTTCTTGAGTTTTTGATATATTGTCAAATTTCCTCATTTATCTAATGTCAAAATTCATAGGGTAATAATTAGATGCATCACATCTAATTCATTAAAATCTTCTACTATTTGCAAATGAGAAGTTATAAGGAAATGACATGCCGGCAGTGTCTTCCGAAATACATTTGTTTTTAATATTAACTCAACAATTTATCGAGCTTAGTCTACGTGATGAGACTACTAAGATTTGTAATAACGATATCGACTTGTTTTTTTCTTTGTCATAATATCCAAACTTTCTATTTATTCAAATATTTCTCATATTAAACAAATATTGTATAGTTTTAATATACGACTTAAAAATAAAGAGTGATTCGAATGGTTAGCATTCATAGAGAAAAAAAAAATCAAAACTTATGTTATTGTCAATGTTTTTTTCTTCCATTATGTTATAGAATGTCGTCAATCTGAAGAAAAAAACTAAAGGATTGACTCATCCTAGATTTTTAGATTCAGTCAAAAGATATTGTTCGACAGAGATGAATAATGTATGTTTTTTAGATAAATGAATACCTGTGAAAAAAATGACAAGCAATTGCGAAGATACCATTGCTTACGAATGATGAAATAGAATAGTAAAAGAAAGAAAAAAACAACATCTTTTTTTCTTTTCTTCTTGTTTTTGTTATTGTTTACTTTTGTGTTTTTTTTTTTCAAGCTTTTATTTCATAAAGTAAAAATATTTTTTTGGAAGAATTTAATGATTTTAAAAAAATTATTTAAAAAAAATCGATGAAAAATAAGAAAATATTTTTTTTCTTAACTTATGATTTGTTTAGAAATAAACCAATTGAATTATAGAGAACAAAACTTATTTTTGTTGTCAAATTATTTATCTATTCTTAGAGAGTATCAATGAGTGTGATATTTTTTTTCTCACGTCGCGATGTATATTCTATATCAAATCATTTCATTAATAATGAATAAATGTTATTCAAGTACAGTCAAATGATCTTCAGAGATTATAAACTGTTTCACTTCTTCTTTATCTTTTTTTATTTTTTATTCGTCATATCGAAACAATTCTTTTTTTCTTTTTTGCTTTGATAAGAGAAGTAAGTAGTGAAATTACACTTATAAACTTCATTTGCATGAACAAAGTCTAAATACTTATGTATTATGTAACTATAAAGAAGATTTTGTATTCAAAAGAAAAAAAAAATGCAAATTATACTTCGAATGGAAACATTAACTAATCATATGTATAAATTAAAATTAATTCAAGATTTTTGTCATTTTTATTCTTGACAAGTTTGTTATCTTTTTATTTTTAAATGAAATAAAATAAATTTCGTTTGCTTAGGAAAGTGTTTGCGCAGAAATGAAAGCAGCTATGCCTAAAAAATTATTTGCTTATCTTTCGCATGATTGAACTTATATGATCGATGCATTGGCTGTGTATGTACCAAACTTTCTGTAGTGGAAATAGTAATGTTGAGATTCAAGTATCATTAAACGCAGAAGTATGTTCGATTTTATAAACATCGTGAAGAGTTCAATGTATATTTAAATTTATATGGTGATAATAATGCTATATGATATTTTTGCAATATGTGAAGCAATTATTAAGAGAATGACGATATGTCGATAGTTTATTTTATTCAAGAACAAGATATTAAACGAAATGAAAGATTCAAGGCATATTGAAAGTTAAATCAACATTTTCTATACAAAAAAAAAAAAATTTTTTTTAAATTTCACATTTATTTATTTTAGTTGATACCTTACATAAGTTTTAATTGTAATTCAACGCACGTCTAATATAAGATCAATATGGAATCGGCTGACCTATCATTACCAGTACATGTGTTTTATTATCTCATAGAGGATGTGTAATGAAACTTTGTTGAAAGTTGACTATGTCAATCCACGGATGGAATAGTGCAACAAATCATCGGTAATAGGTTTCAGACCGATCCATCTGGCCTACTAACGCGAGCTTCTTCTCTGATTTGATCCGTTTTCCGTAGGAAGAGCATTCATTTATATTTTTAAATAGAATTTCTATTCATTATTTCATATAAAATATTAATAATGAAATCAAATTGAAAATCATATACAATAGTGTTTTATCCAATGCAGCGCTTCTCTGAATATCTGATTATCCTTTCTAGAGTTTGTTGTTATTATATTACATGTATACTATGTTTTTTTGTGCTTTCAAAAATAGATATTCACTCTCCTGAAGCTGAAACTCTGGATTGAATATCGATATACAATCATATGTTTATTCTAATCTACTATTAAATTTCAAAATATGTGAATAGAATAATTTTACATTTAAAACATGAAACCAAATAAATATATATTTATTTTCTATTCATCATATATAATAGAAATAATCAATAAATCTATTAATATATTTTTAGATAAATAATGACTGAATTATCATCATCGATTCAAGAACAAAAATCATCATCATGGTTTAGTAATTTTAGTTTACCAACAAATTTAACTAATCAATTATCAAATTTCAGTTCAACAATTGTTCAAACAACATCAAAATTAGGTACTGCTGCTAATACATTTGTTCAAAACTCAATTCAAGAACGATTTTTAACAACTAATGAAAATCAACAACAAACTTCTGAAACAACTAAAACAAATAAAGATTTTACCAGTATATTATTTTTTTTTATTTTCTTACTTTCGAAAATTAATTTTATTTTTATAGGTATTCTTAGTGATCTTGGTTCGACTGTATTGAAAAGTGCTCAACAATTAAAACAAGTTGTAGAAGAAAAAACTATAATTGGTAATTTTACAAAAGAACAAGACAAATTTTTAACAGATAAACGTATTAAACAAAGACGTGAAGAATCAGCTGTTCTTCCATGGATTGGTTATGAACAAGAAGAAGAAATGAAAAAACAAATTTTAGCTCTTTCACAAGTTAGTTATCCGTTAGTTTATTAAAGGACATCGTCGAATAAGGTCGTAAATTACCGTTAAATTTCTTTCTTATATTACACAGCATCAAATATTTGAGATTTTATAATGTAAGAAAGAAGTCTAACAGTAAACACGATCGCTATGTCAGTTTATAGAGCATAAAAGACTACATTGAACTATGTTATTACTTTTGATATTGAGTTTATAAAAGAAAAGATTACTGGTATCATAGTTATTAACCGAAAAACACTCAAAAATGATAGATCTGTAAAATTATTTAGTCATCGAAAAATTTATTTTCGGATTTAACAAAAAGCAAAATTTCATGGTCTATCTTTCTATCCTATAAAAAGTGGGATCTAGACAGAGATGGTAGATTTATGACTTTATCCGACGGTATTCTTTATCGTAAACTTTGATTTTTTTCGTTTGTTTAGGAAAAGCGTAATTTTCTTCGTAGTCCACCGCCTGGAGCAAATTATCATTTTGATATTGCAGATATTTATCCAGTTGCATTAGCTATTCTTGAAATTGATGAAAATTTAAAACAAATGCGTTTTGATCTTGTACCAAAACAGTAAGAACATTTGTTTTTTCTTATGTATTTAAAGTCTATAAAAAAAAAAAAAAAAAAATTTATATTTAGAATTAATGAAGAATCATTTTGGCGTAATTATTTCTACCGTGTAAGTTTAATAAAGCAATCGACGCAATTAACAGCTTTAACAAGTAAAAATAGTAACTTATTATCTATTGATTTTGTTTTATTTATTGTATTATTTTAGCAAATACACAATCAACCGATGAAACACATAATTCATCAAATAATCCTGGTAAATCAAAAAAAAAAAGATATTTTGGTTCTTAAGAATAAGAATAGATAGTTCGATAAATAGAGCACTTCTGCTTTCATACTGACGAAGAAATGTTCCCAAATATCGAATTGGTTTCCGTTTGAAGCTATTGCTATTCAATCGACCTTGATAAGTAATGAAAAAGCCTATTTCGGTTTGGTCTCTTCCGGTCTTCACTTATCAAATTATGGATATTTTAATCGGTTTTTTGCTCTATGAATTGTGTTAACTGGTTAGATGTTCTACAACACAAAATAATCTCATTCTTCTTTTTTGCATAGATATAATCGCAGCCATAAGTGATGTATATACATAGTAAATAAAAAATGATTAGTCAAAAAGCATAGGAAGACTTTTCTGAGGAAAAATTTTTCTTTAAAAAATGAATTATTATTTTCTTTTTAGTTTTAGTACGTCGAACATCTGAATTACAGGAAAAAATATCTGATGGTAATCAAGAATTTGTCAGTGAAGATTATGATACATCAGCTTTAAGTATGGATGATATTCGACGTGAAATTGAACAATTAAGTATAACAAGAAAAAATTCAAATAAAACAAAATATAATAATTCAGGTAAACAATTATCTATTTTATTTTGTTTTTTTATATAAGTATATTTATTTTCTTTTTCATTTTTTTTCAAGATTTCGATGAAAGTGAATGGGATAAAGGATTAACTGATGAACTTGAGAATGTTACCGCTGAAGAACTTGAAGCACAAATTAATGAATTATTAGCTGGCAATACTAAATGAAAATTTACTTTCTATTATTTCGATGTTTTTTCCTTTTTTTTTTTTTTGTATACAAGTCGTAAAAGATTTGATGATTATTTTTATTATAATCTTGTATATCTAAATATATTACAGCTATGATTTATTTTCAAATAAAAATAATGACGGTGATGGTAGATATATATATTTAGCATGCTTATGTTTTTAGAAAAAATTTACAAAAAAAAAAGGTCAATATGGCGACTAGACAAACTGGTTTGTAACATTTAAAAAGCAAAGAATGTTAGAAACGAAAAAAGAAATTTTTGTTTATTTTTCATAGCATCAACTCGTAACAATAGTGTTGAAAGTGTGTGTCATTCTTTTTGTATAGAAAATTATTTAATTTAATAAATTTTAGAGATTAAAATGAAAAAGAATTCACGTCAATCAAATATCAATGAGGGTCAACATTGATTATTATTATTATCATTGTTTTCTTTTTTATTATTAATTAAATATTTGCTGTTTTTAGAACCAATAAATAATGCAAAACGTCGTCGAATTGAAAAAAATAATATTCAAAAAACTCATATACAATATGATTCATTAGAAAAATATGGATATCATTTTAAAAGTAATGCTACTTTAAGAAAATATTAATAATAAATACTAGATCAACTAAAATGTATTAAGTATTTTCTGTCTAACTCTTTGGAGATTGATGAAGGGATCATTCGAACTGATATTCGCCGTTTAAGTTTATATTGGGTGTATAAGGACATCTTGGTGAGACTAGCGAAAGTCTCACCAAGGTGTCCTTGTAAGCTTAAACTACGAGCATCAATTCAGATGGTTTTCTCATGAACCGAAACATATACGGTTTCGAAATTCGACCAGGGAAAGAGATTCATAGATATCCTGTATGGACTTATCAAGAGCAGTCTACGAGAAATTAAATTTATCCTATTTTACTTGTACGCTTTTCAAGTCATTATGGCTTTCATATTTTTCTTTCGTTAGTTTTTTCGAGCGTACGATTGAATCGGTATGTTTCCTTCACTCATATCTAAAAAGACTAAAGGACTA